TTCTTTTTATATTTCTAAGTGGGAATATCATAAACTTACCCTGTGATACTCAATCCATGACCCAAACAACAGCTCCACATTGAGATCATAGCAGCTTGCAAACCCTGTGAAGCACATAATATTGACTTCTGCCTTTCCATCCAATCATTGAGTATCAAAGTGAAGCAACCCTTTACCTTGTTCTTAGTATATAAATATGGCTGTCCAACAATATTTTTCCTTAATATATGGAAAAAGAAAAGATCACATGCTGATTTGCACAACCTCATCAATTTCATTACTCCACTTTTATGTATTGTCATTTATTCTTGATGCAAGTATGAAATGAAAACTAAAAAAAACACACAAGAAGCTAGCCACCATTAGATATATATCAATCTGTTAACAAATTTCCGTTCTTCTAATTTTTTACCGTAATTAACATGTATTATATATATAATATATATATAACTGACCCTATGAACACTATGAACACAGAAATGTTCGTAGTTTCTTACATAAATACAACATTGGTATAGACAATACAAGACATAAATACAACATTTGTATAGACAAGACAAGACAGAAGTTCATCATTAACCAAGTATACAAACAATAGAGTAGAACTCTTCAGCTAGAAAATAGAACAATAATCTTCAAAGCAGAAAAAAAATAATGCTCATGTTTAAAAAAATAATTGCACCATCGACTAATTCATATGTAAGTCCTACCTATGATGCGTGTTCTTCATGTTAGAGCGATAGTAATGATTCTGAGATCGATATGCATCTATTTAAACACGCTCGAAAGACTTCTTTTCCATGGATATCATGCGTGTTCTTCATGTTAGAGTGATAGTAATGATTTTGTGCACATTCATGAATTAAAATTGAAAAATATGGTTTCAATGTACTTATATTAGAAAGTTTATAAGGCAAAAGAACAGCTAGGTTTGAAATAGAAGCCAGATTCTTATATGGTACAAAGGAAAGTTATTCTGTAAAAAAAGGGGGGGGGGGGGGGGGGGG